TGTGTAGGATTTACAATTATAAATTTACTTTTTATTTATAGTGTTAAATAACAATAAAGTTCTTTTTTTTTTTTTTCTTTTAATTTCCAACTTTAATTAAACTAATTGTGTTATTATTAGTTGAAAATGTAACTAAAAATATATTTTTTTTTTATTTATGATTTCTATTTTTAAATTTCATAGTACCTTGATCAATTTTATTTTTTGTTTTCGTAAGCAATTTTTTCAAGTAAAATATAATTTCTTTACTAATTCTTGAATATATACAATATATTCCAAGAAAAAAGTATATATATATAACTTATTTAGTGGTATATCTTGCATTGATTAAAGTTTATTTTGAGAAAAGAGTAAATCACACAAATAGTCCCTATGGTTTGCGGTAATTTGCACATTTGGTCCCTAACTTATTCTTTTCACTCGGAAGGTCGCTACTGTTTGTTTTTGTTACGCGTTTGGTCCCTACTGTTTGTTTTTGTTACGCGCTTGATCCCTATCTTACCTAAAAAAAACTATTATTTAAATAGGGAAAAATGGTAGATTAGGTAAGGTAAGGTAAGGGGGTAGGGTTGGGATGTGTGCTTATTAAAATAAATTAAAAAATCACGGGCAAAATAGTCTTTTTAGGTAAGATAGGGACCAAACGCGTAACAAAAACAAAAAATAGGGACCTTCTGAGTTAAAAAAATAAGTTAGGGACCAAACGCACAAATTACCCTAAACCATAGGGACCATTCGTGTAATTTACTCTTCAGAAAATAACATTTTTATCTTTATTGATCAGTTTGATTTCATTTAGGTGTGTGGTTATGCATCCTACTTCTAATTCTTCCTATTATAGCATTTTTTTCCTAATTAAAGCATTGTGCTTTGAAACATCAACCCATTATAGCCTTATACTTAACAAAAAATCTACTCAATTGTAGCAGTGAAAAAAGCTTTAGTATTTAGAGAATAATATTGCTATAACAAGGTATATTTTCTAACTACAATACTATTAGCCTATTATATGAAGTAATGAAAGTATCATGCTAAAATAAACACATCAAATGGAAGTACATTTGCTATTCTTTTTCATGTAGCAATGTTAGATACCTTATCTGTTTGAATTTGGCCAATTGGTTCGCTGATATCACCACAAACTGTGGGCCCTGTTTGCAATATGAATGAAAATATATAAAGAATTGCATGGATCATTATAATCAGTATTGTTGACACAAACAAAGAAGCATACCACTGTGTGAAGAAAAAGATCTAACCCATTTTGGGGTTAAAAATTCGGTTTTAAACGATGATACGTCCCTGTGCCACATAAATTGTTGTAAGGAAATGATAAGTTTTAGTGTTAATTCAACAAGACTAATGAACAATGAAGACCTAAATGCAAGAAATAGCAATGAACTTGCATATTTAACGTAATGAAAAAGGCATTAACATTTCTTGCTTTTAGTCAATGATGTAAAAAAAAAATTCAAAAAGTGCAATTGCTATTTCTTGCATTTAGCAGCCTAGAGAAAAAAGAGTGTTTATTTTACCTTAAGGCTTTTGAATAAACAGGAGCACCTGTAATAGTGTAAGACATACATCATTTAGTGATAAGTTAAAAAAATTTGTGAGTTTTTCAGTAGGAAAACAAAGACACTCTTATGTAGGAGAACGCATGCATACCTTGATGAATTTCAGGTACTAGTTTTGATCCTCTTCCAAATGCCTACCACAATTGCAAAATATATATATAGCAACAAGTAATCTCATAGGAAAGATTTGAATGACATAGAAACTCTAAAACCAAAACTAAATTTAGCTCTAACAAGATGGATGAATACAAGAAATAGCAATGCTCTTTTGTTCCATTCTTGTGAAATTTAGTGACATAGTCCCTTAGATTTAAATATATAGTTCTTCATCATTAGTTTTAATAATCATGTCTCCCTTTAACCAAATCAAAGACTAAAAAGGGTATAAAGCATATGTAAGCTAAAAAACAATATATTATGTAACTATACATACATTATTTGCCACTGCAGATGAGCACAGAGACAAAGCCTTCCGCCTGATAGTTCCACACATCATCCTTATAATCTTCCCTACATAATATGAAGCATGCAGCATCAATATAAAGCCAAAATGTTATGTGGGTATAAGTTCTCAAAATTAACTCCCCTCCCAAACAGAAGAAAAGAGAATCAAAACCAAATAGAAGTGTTATGAACGCCTAGAAAAACAGGAATTCAACTTGGAACAATCAATGATTTGTTTTTGGACTTTAAAACTTAGGTGATTCCAAGCTTTTTGTTACAAAAGATGAAAACCAAATTAAATCTTATAACAAGTCATTCCGAAAACAGTTTTTAAACGGTACGAAGCAATTATATCAGATCAATTTTGTATTTTGACTGTACCGATTTGGGGTTTGAAACATCAGCAGTCTAGATTATCCTAATCGGGTATTAGTTACGATTAATGATCAAATGAACTTTCAGTATGATTTATGCAATCAAAAAGAGCTACGGAGCTGTAGAAACAACAAATACGAAATGAGGATTTTTTTTTTTTTTGAGAAAATATAGTTACCCTAGAATGATCTTTAGGACAATATGTATCAAGACCTAGATTCGATATCCGATTCACAGTGAACTACCGAGAATAGAGAAATTAGGACTACAGAAAAAGAGAAATCAAGAACGTTCGTCTAACCTGAACAGCAAAGAAAAAAAAAACATACCGATTTGCTTGTAGTCGAAGAAGGAATACCGAGAAAGAAAAAGGATTAGCGAGGAGAAACGCAAAGAAAAATAGCGTACCGATTAGCTTGGTGTCGCAGAAGGAAGGTGGGTGAAGATTTGCTTGCAATCGATTGCGATGGTTGAAGGCGACGAATGTGGGTGCTGATCTGCTTGGGTGTCGAAGAAGTGAGAATTAGAAGAAAAAATAGCCTGTTCAGAGTTGTTCAAATCGCTGATTCGGACAGAGGGTAATAAATGGTTCAGAGATTTTTACCTCTTTACCAAACTTCATTCTTGTTCCTCTATTTTTACCACATTGCCACACATTACATTGCCACAATATCACACTTTTTTTTAATAATTGAACTCTATTTTTAATAAAAAAAAAAGCATAAAATTTCATTACTTCAAAATAAAAAAAATAACATTACGTTGCATTAAATTAAAAAAAAAAACATAAAATGATATTAAAAAAAATCTTAAACACTTCAAAAAACCTAGAAACTTTAAAACTACAAACTTTAAAAAAAAAAAAAACAAAAAAAAAAAAAAAAAAAAAAAAAAAAAAAAAAAAAAAAAAACAAAAAAAAAAAAAAAAAAAAAAAAAAAAAAAAAAAAAAAAAAAAAAAAAAAAAAAAAACAAAAACAAACAAACAATTAAAACCTACAATCTTAAACCTATTTAACATAATGTTTTTTTACATCGGCTTTCATCATCATAACAACTTTAAGCTCCTCTTTGGGTATGTTCGATAAGTCTATCATTAGTATTTTCATGTTACTATCCATTTGTTTCCAAGGCTCTCTTTCGGAAGCAATTTGCAAAATTTTGTTCATTCTTTCTTTTTGTAACGTTTGGTCCAAGTATTATTCATTTCTCAATATTTTAAAGATTTGGGTTGGAACTTGATGAGTTAGGGAGCTCCAGCTCGTCGTGTAGAAATCTTTTTGGCTGCGGAGTTTAAGGATCCAACTCGACGAGTTAGTGATAAGATTAATATGATAAGATCGATAGATTCAAAACAGGTAAAAGAATCAAACACAAAGAATGGAGAGCAAAGTTGTGTTGAATGATTAAAAAACACTGCCTTAAAAGAGCTCGATGAAGAACTTCTATTGTAAAGGCAGTGTAGGGTTACAAGATCATTAATTCAAAGCACGGTGCATGCATGCATTATAAATAATTTAACCCTAGCACATTAATATCAGGTGGACAGGCCCAACCCATTACAAAAGATTAAGGGATACTGTCACTGTAGCACATGGAACTTTCTTCAATTGGCTAATTGGGTCCTTAAAGGTTTTTTTTTTTTTGGTACATTAGGCCAGTAAACTTGTAAGTGACCTTTTAATTACACCATTTTATCAAGTTTTAGAAGGGTTGTTTAATCGAAATCTTTTCTCTTACACTGGTGGTGTGAAAACCATGTTCACTGATGTTGACTTTTCTTCTATGACTTATTATGAGTTTGTGACCTTCTGCGAACGTTTCATGCATGAAGAGTGTAAAAAGTTTTACTACTGTGAACCAGGAAATTCCCTGATGGAAGGGATTAATCCCATTTCAAATGATGTGGAATATGTTGCTTTTATTTTTGATGCTTATGGAACAGATGGTGTAATTTCGGTTTATGTGGATCATATTGGGGTTGGTGTTGATGGGTGGCTTGATGATGAAGATAATGATGATGATGAACATGAGCATTGTATTGATGGTGAAAATGAAGATAACATAGATGAACTTAGGAAGGTTGCCTTTGAAATTAATGAGGATGTAGTGTATATGAATAGGACATCAAATGATCCTTTCTTAAGTAAGTTATGTGTTGATGATGAGGAGGATAACTACATTGTAGATGATGACAATGGGAGAGAAGTTGAACTTAACATTCAAACTCATTTCATATTTAATGAGATATTATACTGGAAAAAACAAAAACCAATTTCTAGGGATGAGATTTAAGGGTCCAGGGCAAGTGATATCAATGTTGTGTAACTATGTTGTAGCTAATGGATATTAATTGGGTTTTCAAAAAAAATGATAGGACAAGAATTTTGGTGAAGTGTAGCAAGGGTGCTTGCACATTTAGATTATGGGCTTCTTTGATGGGTGATGAAGAGAGTTTCCAAATCAAGCCACTAAAAGTTGATCATAACTGTGCTAGGAACTTCAAATTTGGATCATTGCTGACATATGCATGGATTGGAAGTCACTATACCAAAGAGATTATACAAAGTTAGAAAATAAGTGTAAGGAAGCTTAGGTTGAAGGTAATGGCGAAGTTTGGTATCCAAGTTAGTATGGGGCAATGTAGAAGAGAAAATAAGTATGCACTGAAACTTGTTGAAGGTAGCCCTGTTGAACATTATGGTAAGCTATGGTCATATGGTCATGAGATTTTAAGGATAAATTCTGGGTCAACTGTAAAACTAGATATGGAGGATGGTCCAGATGGAAAGAAATATTTTAGCAAGTTCTATTGTTGTTTTCAAGGAGTTAAACAAGGTTGGATTGAAGGGTGTAGAAGGATAATTAGTCTTGATGGATGTTTTCTTAAGGGTGTTTGTAAGGGGGAATTGGTTTGTGCTAGTGGGAGGGATGCAAATGACAAGATATATCCTATTGCTTGGGCATTGGTTAATGTGGAGAACAAGCAGAATTGGAAGTGTTTTTTAGAGCTTCTCATTGATGATCTAAACTTGAATTTAGGCAATGGTTTCAGTTCAATGTCAGGCCAACATAAGGTTAGTATTTTACATAGTAATGCATTTATATTTATTTTATAATATATGAATTAAACCTTTGTACTACTACAGGGTTTGATAGAGGCTGTTAAAGAGTTGCTACCGTATGTAGAGCACAGACGGTGTGCTAGACATATTTGCCAGAATTTGCAGAAGAGATTCACTGGTGTCATATATCATACCTTGTTTTGGAGAGCATCTAAAGCCACAACTGAGCATGATTTTAAAGTTGTGATGAAAGAAATTGAGACATTGAACCCAGATGCCCATCAATATCTAATGGAGAAAGATCCTAAAACATGGTCAAGAGCTTTCTTTCAAACTGGAAGGTGTTGTGATGTAGTTGAAAATAGGTTCTCAGAAAGTTTTAATGCTCTAATAGTAGATGCTAGGAAGAAGCCCATAATAACCATGCTAGGGGACTTAAGATTATACATGATGGACATAATCTACAACATGAAATTAAATGGACAACAATGGGGAAATCATATTTGTCCAGATATAAGGGATAAGGTGAATTTGCTTAAAAAAGCTCAAAGGTATTATCAGGTACTACCAAGTGGATTAAACCAGTTTGAGGTAAGGGGAGCAATAGATGCATATGAGGTGGACTTAGAAAGGAAAACATGTTCATGTAGGTTGTGGCAATTGAATGGATATGGATGTGCTCATTTTGTAGCTAGCATATCCTTTCTTAATAGGGATGTAGAAGCCTATGTAGACAACATGTTTAGCACAACCACATTTAGGAAGGCATACAATTACAGAATTGCTCCCATGAATAGTAGTGACATGTGGCCAGAGACAAACTATACTCCACCATTGCCTCCTATGAGTAGAAGGATGCCTGGTAGGCCAGCTACTAAGAGGAAGAAATCCACTACAGAGAATACAGGAACACACAGGGTTTCTAATGCTGGAAAGAAAACCAGATGTAGTATTTGCAAGGAGATAGGTCATAACAAGGCCACTTGTCCACAAAGAAGGTCCTAAAAGTTAAATGTGAAGAAACAGAAGAAACAAAAAGTTTGTGTGAAGCAAAATGTAGGACAGGTAAAACCATTTAAAATTTAAATTTATTTACATATGATTTGTTACTAACATAATTATATCATGTCATATAGGGTAGTACAAGTGAATGACAACAACATGAAGAGGTTGAAATGACTCCAATTGAGATGGATACTACTCAAAATGATATGCAAGTTACTCTTACTGATGTTTAATCCAGTAGTGTAGGGCGTTTTAGTCATTCTATGCAATTTACTACACCTAGAAGTTATGAAGGTGATGAGGGTGTTGTGGGTGAGGAAGCTGATGTGGTTGAGGGAGCTGTTCAAGATGAGGAGGCTAAGGAGTTTGATCTTGTTATCCAAGTTGATAATGTTAATGTTCAAGAGGTTGATAAGGTTAATCCTAATGCCTAATTTGATAATGTTAATGTTCAGGAGGTTGCTCCTATTATCCAGGTTCAGCAGGTAAGGGTTAGGCCAATTTTAGAGATTTTGAAGAGGATAAGGAGAAGAAAGCCAGAGAGAATATTGAAGCTGAAATTAGGCAAAACAATTGGTGGTGTTGATGATCCAGGAAATTCGAAGGGAAAAGCTCTTGTAATTGATTAGTGTTTATTGTAATTCGGATTTAAAGTTTATGTAATAGGATGATGGTAATTTGGATTTAAAGTTTATGTAATAGGATGATGGTAATTTATATTTAAAGTTTATGTAATAGGATGAAGGTAATTTGAATTATGGTCAGTAATGGATATTTTGGTCATTTAAGTATGTATGAAAGAAAAGGGTATTTTGGTCATTTAAATATGTATGACAGAAAAGGGTATTTTGGTCATTTATTTATGTATGATAGAAAAGGGTATGTTGGTCAGTTATTTATGTATGACAAAAAAGGGTATGTTGGTTATTTAAGTATGTATCAGATAAAAGGGTAATTTGGTCATTTATTTATGTATGACAGAAAAGGGTATTTGGTCATTTATTTATGTATGACAGAAAAGGGTATGTTGGTCATTTATTTATATATGACAGAAAAGGGTACGTTGGTCATTTATTTATGTATGAAATGAAGTATGAAAGTATGTTGCCTTTTAAGTAAAATCATGACATTTAGCTTTGAATATTTATGCATGGAAAAAATTGGAATAATGTGCATGCATGAGAATGTTTTATATGGTCCCAGATATGGTTTTATAATGGCTTCACAGGTCCCATTTTTTCATTATTAAAACACCCACTGACTACTAAATACAAATGGTCCCTATACACATAGTGTACTTTCACATGGACCACTTCCTCATTTGTTCCCAAATTTAAAACATGCACAACAACTAATCTAATTAAATATATTTGTTGGGAATACAGACCATGCATATGTTTGATTAACATCAACATCTGATTATACAAAATGTCATACAATTGGGACTTTGAATATTTTCTTTACATTACTTATCATATGCCCTTTCATTAGGGACTTACCACCTTACAACATCAACACATCAAGGTTGATAACCCCAACTTATAACTTAAAGCAGCTTCAATACATATAAAATGCCCATCATTACTGACTTTCTAGTCTGCCTTTACAAAAAGTTCAAGGGATCCCAAAAAACAAAAGCTTACACTAACCAACCTAACTAACTACAATCATCCCTTAACTTCAAAACACATATGGCCAAGCAAGCAAACAACAGGGCAACTATCATCCTGTACCTGCCTATTGCGTTCCTTGCATCATGAACTTCTTTCTCACTCTTTACCACCTTATACTGCTCCTTTGACAGCAGAAACTCCACTTCAACAATCCTTCTCCTCAAATTGTTCATCTCAGACAGTTCCTCTTTGGCATCCAGTTTCTGCTTCAGAGAATATAGCAAGTTTTTGTAGTACCCGTCTGCATGTTCTTCATCTTTCCATTCAAAGAAGCTACATTTCCTCAACCTAGTCTATAAAAAGCCAATAAATTAGGGTTTGATTCACAATCACAAACCAACTACCTTTAATGTACCAACGAAATGGGTTTTATTCACAGTGATCGTCAAGAAGCAAATACAATTAGGGTTTTTAACATATGAAACAAAATACAAATACACTATTATCGTCTTTACAGAAAGAAACAACACATAAAACCATAAAATACTAACTTATCAAAATCAGGAGAATCGGGACCTACCATACTGTTTTGACAATTCCAGAATCGCCTCCCAAGGTTTGTTATCTTCCAACACGTTCGTTCGTTGGCTGGAACGACATAATCACAAAGCTTTACCCCTACTTGCAACTGAACATGAGTGACTTGTAGCTGATTCCTTGACGTCGATGATCTCGAAGACATTCTTCTTCACGACGGAAATAGTCGGGGAGGGGGAAGTCTTTGAATTTTCAGAGAAGGGTAAGTAAATATTTAAAGGAGGTCCAAATTAGGGTTTAAATTAATAAGCATATATCGACAACTGGACTTCTTCGACACATTGTAACATCCCAAAATTCAAGCCCGAAAATTTCATTTTTCAAAAATTAATTTTTAAAACATTTTACCATAACATTGTCAATAAATCAACACATTACAAAATCATAATATTGTGTTCCAAACCACGACATCAAAATAATGAAAATCAAAGTGCAATCCCAGAAAATCCGATACGGAATCATGTGTGTGTGTGTGATGCGATGCTACGCCGTCGGCTCCTTCCCCTTAGACGAAGAGGTACCTGAAACCAAAACAGAAACCGTAAGCACAAAGCTTAGTGAGTTCCCCCATCATACCACATACCATACAATATCATCGGTATCTTTCAATCGGTAACTTCCATCGGTATCTGTCAACCGATAATCGTCATCGGTATCTTTCAACCGGTAATCATCATCGGTATATTTCAACCTGTAATCATCATTGGTATCTTCCAACCAATAACTGTCATCGGTATCTTTCAACCGGTATCTGGGGACTATTCCACCCCTTACCACTATCATGCAACATTAAGATATAAACATACAGTCAGGCATATCCGGGTACTGACCTACCCTTCAGTCCTAAGGACCATTGTCAGGGAGACTAATCCCTACTATACACATAACATATCATACAGATAAATATCATAGCCAAGGCACATAACCAGACCAAGATAATTATCACAAATACAATCATCTCCTAATTATTCCTCTTTGGTGGGCCGACATTGTGGCCTTAGACCCACCCCTACTGGAAGGTAACTCACCTCGTACGAGTAGCTACTAATAATCTGCGTGGGAAACCTCTGTTTGATGCTACTCCGGAAATCCTCCGGCTATAATCCCCACAAAACACTCAGTCAGAAACTGATATCTACTCTTAGGGTAAAATACCTATTTTACCCCCAACCAAGTCCAAGTCAAAGTCAACTTCTAGTTGACCCGACTCACTGAGTTGGGTCGTCAACTCGTCGAGTCCCTACCCTTTACTCGTTCTTATCCATGACTCGACTCGTCGAGTTTGGCAACTAATCGATGAGTTCCCCTTCTTTACGAACATCAATGAACCTTCATCCGACTCGCCGAATTGTATGAACAACTCGTCGAGTTCATCTTCATATGATAAACAAGTCCTGACCTTGACTCGCTGAGTTGTATGAACAACTCGTCGAGTTTATCTTCATATATAAGAAGATTTCCTTGGACTTGCCGAGTTTGTTCTAGCACTCGTCGAGTCCCATGAACTCCAGGTCCAAAACTAAGTCTAATGCGTTGGGTCACTCCTTCTGTCCTGCTACAACCCTTCTAACACCCAACTGAGTTCTTTTGACCATCAACAGATATGGGACTCAAAGCCTTGGACTCGTCGAGTCCCAAGAACGGAATCTCCGAGTCGATAACGTCCACACTCTAAATCCTCGATTTCTGATGTACAAAACGTGTCAAAATGATAAATCCAAGCCCCTAAGCTCGATCTAGCATGTAAAGTTACGAACTTTACGTGCATGCATGGGACTTTTGAGCTAAAAAGGCTCTAAAATGGCACTTTTGTTGCATGGGGCCTTTCTTGGGTGCAAAAGCAACCCAAATCTATCTTGTGACTCTTCCCAAGTGCTAGATCCGAAGTATTGACCCCCAACCATGTTTGCAAATCATGGTTGGTCACCTCATATGGATTAAAAGCCCTAAATCTTCCCCAAAAAGGGATCTAACAAATAAACAAGCAAGGTATAGACTTTATACCTTTCAAAGACTGCAAATGATGAACCAAACTCGAATCCTTCAGCCTCTTCTTGATCCTTCTATGCACTTCCTTCTTCCTTGAGGTCAAAACCCACAAAAATCACTCAAAAGCTTTAGATCTTGCACCAAAACACTTAGGGCTTGCTATGGAGTGTCTTTGGGAGCATTAGGGATGAGTGGTGGCTGAAAGAGATGATTAAATAGGGTGTAAACCCTCAAATAAGGGTTTTGTACAGTCAGAGCCTACTCGTCGAGTCTGGCCGCGGACTCGACGAGTCCATCACTTAAGTCCCATGTCCAAACCCACTCCTACTCGACGAGTTGGGCCTTCAACTCGCCGAGTCCCAGGCCAAAAATGAAAATACAACAAAATAAATTACATACCAGGAACCGAGTGCTACCCACGTAAGCTTATTGGATACATCATTGTGCCACATAAGCATTGTAACCGGGAAACCTTCTAAAACTTAATAAAATGGTTTAATTAATAGGTCACTTACGAGTTTACTGGCCTAATGTACCAAAAAAAACTTTAAGTACCAAATTATCCAATTGAAGAAACTTCCGTGTGCTACAGTGACATTATCCCAAAGATTAATTAAAACGATACAATACAATTATTGACACAACACAAAATAACCCAACAATCTACCCCTTTGTGTCAATAAGGAAGGCATATTCTTCATTGTTGTTGTCGCTTTTGAACTTTAAACAGCTTCGGCATAATCCCTAGCAAAGTCTTGCGAACCAGGACATACCAATTGATCATTTCAGAAAAACACTTCTTATCCACAACATTGTTCGCTTTATTCTGACACACAAAATCCACAATATATTATAGACAGGAGGAGTATAGATGTTTTTCTGGTAAATAGAAGCAGACTCTGTGAAAGTTCGCATCTAGTTTTTCTCTTATCTGAAAAGCGACACTCCTATCCTTCTTTCGTATCCTCCCCAACTTCATCGTATCAAGATCCTTCTGAGGCTCCATGGGGAGAACTGTATGTTTCTTATTCGGAATAGAGGCAATCTCTACGTCCATCTTTCCAACCTCTTGGATGTAACATACCAACATTTGTTTCAGATTTACAATAATAGGCTCGAACTTATGTTGATCCTTCAATAGTAGAAGTAACAAAGAAATCCAACTGAATGGGTTGAGGTAGGGCAGATCTGTGAGAGTAAATTTGTGTGTTGAACTCACAGCCCCACGAGCAACCTTGAAACGAGCATTAATTAAGCTCTCAGATTCAATTGGTCCGAACACCTTAACAACTGTGATCTTCTTTGAGCTCTACGTTTCATATTGTGGCTTCATGTGCTTTAGATAAAATGAAAAGAGCAATTGATCAGCACCTTTGTCAGTAGGAGAAACGTTCGGAATCTTGTTAAAACTGCGAAGCAGAAAAGCCTTC